GGTAATAACATATCAGATAAGGGACTTATTTTAAAGATTTAATACTATTATATAGCAGTAAAGACAAATTTGATATTAACAGTTGAAGTTTGGTTGTTTGGTTTTTTTTTTTTCCCAGAAATGTGGTTTTCAGTGGTTTGCATGTATTTAGTTATGTTCAAGAATATTATACAGACACAGCTAACTAACTAAATAGGTATACATTACCTGTTATATGAACTGTTGCTTAGAAGAGTTCTTGATAAGGGCGCTCTGGTGGTCTAGTGGCAAGAAGCTGTACTGCAATTCCAGAGGCGCGGAATTCGAATCCACCAGATGCTCTGCTGGAGAAGAGACGATCTCCTCCTGTACCAGTCAGATCTGATCTGACCGTACACACACACAGAATAACAAAATTTAAAAATAAAAAGAGTTTTTGATAATATAAAAATCATAATTAAGTACATAAGGCTATCACAATTTCTTAAGATACTGAAAATTACAAAGAGATTGTGATATTACTTACAGATTGTGATATTACTTACAATCTTTCTTCATCTTCTGTTAGGAAAAATGTCCTTTCTGTAATTCTGCCTAGTTTTCAGTTTACTGACTTTTCTACTCTGAGCCTCTTGGTAATTTTAGGTTGTCTGGATTTTTAGTAGATTTTAGTCATAAAACATAGACCATACTTTGGGTTTTTTTGGTCAGAAGACTAGAGAATGATGGAATTTTTTTTTTAACCTTTGACTTGTTTTGATACACATTTTCCTAGTAATTTCTTGGGGATATATTAGGGCACTCTGATAGCCTAGTAGTAAGGAGTTGCACTGGAAATCCAAAGGTACATGTTTCAGATCCACCAACCATTCCACAGGAGAAGTAGGGCAGTCTTCTCCCATGCGCATAACTGCCTCTGAAGACCCATTGGAGAGTCAGCTATAGGTCAGTTTCACCTCATGGTACACAAAAACAATAATCAATAATTTCTAAAGTCTGCGAGAAGATAAAAGTATTTTTCCAAGAAAGGAAAAAGATTCCTTTTAAAGGCTACAAAGAATTGAGAGTTAAATAGTTAAATGGACTCTTTACTTGAACATGCCTCAGAATTTCTGTAGTACTTTCTTCTTATTCCCCTTCTTTATCTGATGCTTGCAACTTTAAGCCACTCAGAAAATTATAAAAGAACTGAGTGGAAGAGCAAGTCTTGAAACAAGTCCCTTGACCTTAACCTGTAGTTCAGTCGTCTTTTTGTCTAATAATGTTTTCAGCCTTATTGTGCATTTTTTTTTCTGATTGTCATTATGTTTATAGTTAGAAGAAAGGTAAGACTTCTTTTTCTCTAATGGAACAGTAAAAACAAAACCTGTAGAAGTAAAGATATATCCATTTAAAAGTAGACTTTTGAACCTTTTCAGAAAGTTTATTTTCTTGGCATGACTTTTCAAGATGCTTTAGCAACCAAATACTTCATTTCATTGAGTATCTTATCTGTGTTTTAGACCATTTTTTTTAATGTTTTAGACCATTTTATCCATTTTTTTCCCCTCTAGTCAGAGTCATATTTGCTTTAGATTCCTCATTTTCCCTAGGACTCATTATTAAATTACTTATAAATGAACTGGTATTACAGAATTGATAAGTTATGATGGTATGAGTACAAAGTGAATTAGAATGATTTTTTTTCTCTTGTTCTTTTTCAGTGTTCCATTGGCAAGCTACAATAATGGGGCCAGTAAGTATTCAAGATTAATTTTATAATAAATAATTTATACAGTTCATTTGTTTTAAATCTCACTTTTGTTCTATCAACAGAATGACAGTCCCTATCAGGGTGGAGTATTTTTCTTGACAATTCATTTCCCAACAGATTACCCCTTCAAACCACCTAAGGTAATTAATTGGGTTATGGTGATTGCTTGTTATTTGCTCTTTATCATATTAATAAATTAACCTTCAAAAATACTTCTTTATTCTATAGGTTGCATTTACAACAAGAATTTATCATCCAAATATTAACAGTAATGGCAGCATTTGTCTTGATATTCTACGGTCGCAGTGGTCTCCAGCACTAACTATTTCAAAAGGTAATAAAGTAGTTCTTTGACACTAAGATAAAACATTATTTTTGTCATCTTAAGCTTTTTCATTTTTTAAAAGATTGTTCAAATCCCTCATTCTTTAATAGAATTTGAAACAACTGAAGAGATTTGGACATCCTTTTCAAGCATAGATATCCTGCTCTGTCCATTGTGTTGGCCAAGCTTAGATTAGAAGGTAGCTTATTCGACATAAGTATTTTTTTTTAATTATTTATGTGTGTCAAATCAGATCTGACTGGTACAGGAGGAGATTGTTCCTCCTTCTCCAGAAGAGCATATGGTGTATTTGAACCACTCACCTCTCAGATTGCAGTGCAGCTTCTTGCCACTAGGCCACCAGAACTCTCTTTGACATAAATATTTTTAAAAACATTATTAGAATAGAAGACTATTTTTTCCAACCTTGAGATTCATGATAGGCTTTTTAGAGGTTAACTGCTGCTATTTAAACACCGATAGTAAGCCACTGGGAAACAATATAGGTGAATTTGCACACGGATTGTTAAAAAAGTTTCACTCACTCTTGATTTGTCTTGTTTCTGTCAAGGACAGACTTATCCTCTAAAGTGATAAATTTTATATAAACATCTTAATATTTGGTTGTGTGTGTATGTTCAGAATTATAGAAAGGAAAAACATAGGACCTTATGACTCGAATAGGTTAGTGTTTTGGATTGTGTTGTTTGTTGTTTTTGGTTTTTGGTTTTTTTTTTTTTTACTGAACTTAGCAGTATAATTTATTACTATCATTGATTTGAAATAGTATAACTTCTCAACATTATACCCAGATAAAATCACTAGTTGATTAAAAGTGGTAAGGAATTGCACTGCCAACCCAAAAGAAAGTGGAGAAAAATCACAGTATACAATTAGTTTATGTTGTAAGTTAAGCTGTAGAGAAAAAACATATTAAAAGAGAAAAAAATAGATACTGTTAGTTTGGTAGTTGAGTGGTGAAGTTTGGGGTTTGAGAAGAGATTTTTTTTGTTTCCTTTTTTTATATTGTATTGCTTCTTTAATAGTTAAGGAATAAAATGGATTAAAGGAGTAAAACAGCTTCCTTGTAAAGAATATAGATTTCTGTATTTAACTCTGTGTATTCAATAATTTTGACAAATTCTCTCCACTTTTTTTCAAATTAGCATAATTATGAGAGTTAAGAGAACTTACAAAAAACTTTAATTTGGTAATTGGTCTGCTAATATGAGGTACTTTTGCCACATTTGACAGACTGGATAAGTTTTCTTTTTTTTTTTTTAAACAATTGATAAGTCTACAATTCCAAGAGCATTCAAAATATCACCCCCTGTTGTCATTTTCAGGGAATATATAAGATCTTTGCTAATTGCTGCTAGAATATTCTATGCCTGAACTGAATATCAAGTATTAAGACCTGCCAGTGGTAAAGAAAAGGTGTTTTACCATAGGCCAAAGTTGTGGGCGACAGGAATGAAAAGTCAGAAAATATCTTTCCAGTTGTTTTTCTTTTTCACATACTTTTCTTAATTTTAATTTATTTATTTTTCATTTCAATGAACATCTGCAGAGATTTTGGAATTCCATTCATTCATTGTTGCACCCTTCTCCCCCCCCCCCCCCCCCACCCCCCCCTCCCCCTTTTGCTCCTCTCCTTGAAAAGCAAAACTCCCTCATTGGTACACAATCCCCCCGCCCCTCCCCCCCCCCAACCCCAAATATAATCCACTCTGCAACCCTCATTGCATACTCCTATGATAAACATAATGCCCTAAAATATAATACTTTTAAACTATTCTCTCCCCCATAGACTTCAATGCCGTAAACATATTTCATCCAGTTTTTCTCAGTCTTACCCCCACCCCGATGCCAGCCTTATTCTACAACAGTGGCACCAATATAGCATTTGTCCCTTTGTGACTGAGATACCTCACTCAGCATAATGTCCTCCAGGGTCATTTCACATACTTTTTAAGGCAAGGAGGTAGCTTTAGTTTTTTTTCCCCTCCTCCCACTCCCTGTATTACCAAACTGACTGATAATGGACACATCAACATTTTTTTCACTTCTTAGAAGCCCCTTTGATCCCTGTAGAATTGATTTTGCAGAAAATGAATAAATCCTTTTCCTGCTGAATTTGATGTTTGAGAAGTAAAGAAGGGTCAGCATCATTAACTCTTGCTGCAGAGTATTAAAGAAAAATAAGATAGTCTGTAGGCATCAGAATAGTTGGAATTTATTTCATTATGTCACAAGCTGTTAACTTGTGCCCTCTCTCTCTGCATTCCATAAAGACTACACTAGTTAACAATATATTTTAACAGGAAAAGTTATGCCATTGAGTTTCCCTCATAAGCTGTTATATCCCAGGTTGTCACTAATAAAATTACTTAGATGAGATTCAAAATTGTTACTGAAAAGAATTTGAAACCTTAGTAGAGATGTGTTGTGTCCCACTGGGAAGCAAGTGTACTAAATTACTTTCAACTAAAAATGATCTAAATTAATTATATATAAACGTACCTGCCATTGAGAAAGCATTCATTGTTGAATTTCATGTGTATCATTTCTAAGACTTCAGTAGTATACTTACTGAAATTTTAAAGTAGTATACTTTTGGAATTTTGTAAACTCTTCACTCTTGAAATGGACTTCTAAAATGTCATCTTTATCGGCTCTGAACTTTATATTCCTGGTCCAGAATTTAGAAGACACAGGTTTTCATTTCATTCTCATTACTCATTTACTAGGAACATGGGGCAGTTCACGTAACCTGTCTAGGCAAGCTTCCTTAAAGTCAAGGCATAGAGACAGTCATATTGACTCTTGCATCATGACATTACTGTGACACTGAACAAAGGGACTTAGATACTCTGACATGGGGGACCAAAACTCCATTGAGCATTAATTTTCTATGATGGTTTTGAGTTTTCTTTTTTAAGTTACTGAGCCTGAAATCTTAAGTTTCTTTATATCTGAAATTTAAATTTCTCTAAATTTAATTGGATTGCTCTAAGGCTAAGTAGAACAGAATTGCTAGGCATTACAATATAAATAGGTTTTTAGGATATTCTCCTTTATTGGCATCTCATGTTCTCCCAACCCTTTGTCTTTATCCTTTACTTTACACTTTCTTTTTCCTTTGTAGTACTCTTGTCCATCTGTTCTCTGTTGTGTGATCCCAATCCAGATGATCCTTTAGTGCCTGAGATTGCTCGGATCTACAAAACAGATAGAGAAAAGTAAGTATGACCTCCAAACAGAAGGGTGTCTGGATGCCTATGTCTCAATGTTTTCTTCATTAAGGCCTTAATGCTTTTAATACCTGGTACAGTACAGTAAAATAAAAAATTCATGATTGTTTTATGATTCTGGGTGTTTATAAAATCATTTCTATAGTATATTTTCTGATATCTTTGACAAAATATTTTTTATTAAGACCTCGTTTGTCTTAAGTATTTGTAAATTAATGGGGAAAGGGAATTTCTTTCCTACTGTTTGACAGAATCTAAAGGAAGAAAATAACAAATTTTTAAAACAAAACCTCATTTAGAATTTAGATATTTCATAGTTGTACTACAAATTACTGCAATGTAGTCACGGTATTAAAAGGTAGTAACTAAATAAATGTGTTCTAAACTTTTTCGGTATTCAGTGAGATTATTTGAGGAACTGAATGAGAGAGAGAGCTTTTGAAAGTTCAAATTTTAGATATTACTTAAGTTCTGTATATTGGTTTAAAGAGTCATAAATAGATTTTCATTTGTTTTTATAGATGTGTACTAGAGTTGGGATTCTAAGAGCAGTTGATTCTTAGTTTAATTTTGTCTATGTTTAGGTCTGATTAGTACTAGAGTCATTTACTTAGAATAAAATTAGATCATACTTTTTTCTGATTCTTTAGAAATTATATTTTTGATTACAGAACAATTCTTATCCACTGCCTAGAATTGTGTGCATGAATGTCTACAGGAAGACATGTTTTAAATCATTTTAATAGTTACGTTCAGCAGACTTTTCTTGCATCCTTTTTCTAATAAAGTTGTAGAAGCTCTTGCCTTTGCTTCTTTTACTCCTGGAACATTTTTCTGGAGCATTAAATTCCCATCAACTATATTCTGCCAGAACTAGTTTTTTATTGACATGCAGAAGACAGTATTATGTCAGTTTAATCTCTAGGTATGTGGTTTCAAGAAGTATATAATGAACTAAGATTTTCATGGATTGATCCAATGTAGAATAAAATGCATTCTAAAAAAATGCCAAGATTTCATGAAAATCTTCTGTAAGTAGTCATGGGAAGTTGTTTCAAATTCTTTCCCACTAATTCAATATATGAGTATTAGAAATTTGACCAAGAAAGGTAACTTTGTGTAACTGTCCTAAAAATTATACTCTCAAGTTAATAGACAGGATAATGAAATCTGTTGCTTACTGCTGATACCTCACCCTTGTTAAGCCAAGCCTTTCTTTGTGTGTGCAGGTACAACAGAATAGCTCGGGAATGGACTCAGAAGTATGCGATGTAATTAAAGAAATTATTGGATAACCTCTACAAATAAAGATAGGGGAACTCTGAAAGAGAAAGTCCTTTTGATTTCCATTTGACTGCTTTCTATGAGCCCACGCCTCATCTTCCCCTGTGCACATGTTTACCTGATACAGCAGTGCTGCGTGTTGTACATACTTGGAACAACAAACTAGAAATACTGTACTCCTGTACCAACATTGCCTCCTAGCAAAGAAGTGTGTGTGTATGACAAGCCAGTTCTCCAGGCATAACCTAAGTGTGAGACTTTCTTTACTGACTTATATTTGGATAATGGCAAGGTGAAGGGTAGTGGGAATGGTGTGTGCTTGGATGGGAAAAACAGCTCCACTAACCTGTAGGAGTTTGCTTTTAAGTGGAATCTTTTAAACCTAAAACAGTTAAGAAAAACAAGGTGAAGAACGTGAAGCTTATTTCTGTTTTCATTTTATTCTGAAGGACCTACGTCTAAGATGAAAGTTATGGCCAACCAAATTAATCTCTTCCCACACATCCTATATTTTGAGGTTTAAGTTTAATTGGTCAGCATTTAAGTGGATTTGGAG